CCAGGGCGAAAGCAAAGGGGAAAATATTAAAAAAAAATAAGTAAAATTAAAATAATAATATGTTTGTGTGCGTGCGCGGATGCCGCTATGCAGCGTGGCGCGGCACTTGACTGCGTTTTCGAGTTTTCCAACCATTATAAATCTCTTAAAGACAAGCGGCCGCACATACAATCACAACAAACAAGTGCAGCGCGTGAAATGATGAAAGAAAAAAAAACAATAACAACAAAGTAGTGTTGAATTTACAGAAATGACGCGACGCTTTTCGACGCGTGTGCGGCTGCACAAGAGTTCGCAGGCTTTTAGCGGCAAGAGCAAATATGAAAGAATAAATATAAAACATGTGAGCAGCATACGCGAGTGAGTTGCATGCAACAGCAGCGTACATTTAGCTGCACTTAGCAACCACTCTCTGGGAATTTTCTTCTAACGCCACAAAACTACAATGTCAACACAGTTGTCATGCTGCAAAGCTTTTCTCAAAGTTTTTCCGCTAACCACAGAGTTATTGCAGCAAGAGCAGGTGCTGCCGCTACTTTCCTGCAATAAGTACAATGTGGCCGGCACTCACTCACAGCTGCGCTCAATCACTCAAAGCCCGGTGCTCATTCACTCAATTGGCGCGCTCTCAGTGAGACGCGCCTCTTTGTTGCGCTTAAGATCACGGTCAAGGTTTTGCTACGCGCTCACTCGCGATACCTGCAATTCGAGCTCATCAATGAATTTGTCGTCTTTCAACCTTGATAGCGCTCGCGCTAACAGTTTTTCACCTCAAGCTTGAGCTTACTTACTTTGTCTCTCAGTATCGCTCTATCTGCTACATTGTACTCCTCCACTCATCTCAATCGCTTTTTGTACGGTAAGCTCACATTTCCAAACGTTGGTTTGTGACTCTTTTCCGCGTCACCTTGCACTTATGGTATATGCCGTGTAGTATTTCATTCTTCCGCGCGGTCATGAATGAGTTTCATTTGGCGCTTAATTTATGCCTTTAGCTTTGTTATATCGGTCTATTTTCGAGCTGCCGATGCGCATGATAATTATTTTTGCTTTCAGATCATCGCATTCTCTGCATACATACATATGTATGTGCTTATTTGCTTACCGAGTGCGGCGTGCAGTTTGTGGCATGCAGCATGCGGCGTTCGCTCGCTGCGGCCGGCAATCGTGTGTGCTGTATCGTAACTGTCGTGACCATCGTCCAATACCCATTGAGTTTAGTCGTTCAAGAAAATGCAAAACTCTTGTGCGTTTTGTTGTAATTTCTATTTGTTGTTGCTGGCCTTTATTTAAATTTCTAGCAATTTAAGGTATTAGTGGGACACAGCAAATTAATCAAATTCTTCTTTTTTCGCTCATTCGTTCATTCGCCGGCAGCGGCAGCTAGGCGCGCCTTTTGGTTCGTTAAATTTTTTCTATGGAAATTCGCTAATTTATTGAACTCATTTCGATTGCGTGCAATTAATGTGTTATTAAAAGCAGTTGGGTATATTTAATATCTTATGATATTAGCGCATGTTTATGAAAGCAAAACTTATTTAAAAGTCTTGCTAATGAGCAGTCGTGATGAAAATTTTTAATAAATGTATTACCATTTATGGTTAAAATGCGTCTGCAATTACAAGAACATATTGTGGGTAATTTGTTACTTGTTGTTGTAAGTAATAAATATAAGTGTTTATGCCTGTAATATTTTCAGGAGTCATAAGAAAACGCATAGCTGGCGCAAACGAAATAAAATATATTATATATATTGCCAGCACTTTATTATGATTTTATAATAAAATCAAAATGTATGCATAAATTCTCAATCAGGTCAAATTGAGATATGGCAACTGAATAACACAAACCACAAAAAAAAAAAAAAACACGTTGCACCGAAGCTAAAATATCCTCACAGATATAAAAGTTTACATACAAGGATTTATTGAAATATGGATCGATCAGTTTGTATAGCAGCTATATATTTTAGTAGTCTGATCTCAACAATTTCTGCGGAGATTATAACTTTGCCTTTGGTAATAAACTGTGTCAAATTTTGTGGAGGGAACTTGTCAAATAAAAAAGTTTTTCATACCAGGACATGTTTCTGATCGTTTAGTTTGTCTGGCAGCTAGATGCTATAGTGGTCCGATATCGGCCGTTCCGACAGATAAGCAGCTTCTTGGGGGCAAAAGGTCGTGGGAAAAGTTTCACATCGATATCTTAAAAACTGAGAGATAGACAAACGAACGGACAGGCGAAAAGACAGTTGGGCATGACCAAATCGACTCAGCTCGCCATGTTGCCTATTTATATTTATAGTTTTTTATAGTCTCCTACATTTCCTTCGGAATATTGCAAACTTCGTGGCAAACTACCGACAGAGTAATAGCCATCTTAGATTTTGTTAAGAATTTATGTTTATAAAAAATGTTTAGTTTTCTTTTGTTTTTTTCTGGTTTTTATACTTTCGCAGCTTAGAAAACTATTCGAATACAGTAAATCAAAGTGAAATAGAAACTTTATATATATATGAAATTTTTGTATTGCCAATTAATACTCTTTGACAATATAGTTGTATTAGGGGTGCTTTATAAATCTTCATTCGCACGGTGCTAATTCATAATCCGGAACAATGTTTGCAATTCGTGCATCATTTATTACCAAAATAATAGTACAAATTCAATTAAAGCCGAACGACCTTCAAGCGCATCGCACATTCGGTATATGGCACCAAAATGAGAAGGCCACTGTTTCATCGATTTTTTACAAGAAAATTTTGTTTAGCGATGAAGCTCTCTTTTTGTTGAATACGTACGTTGATGAAAAATATTTTCGCATTTGGAGTGCTGATAATTCGTTAGCCATTGTTGAGACGCCGAGGGCAGAGGGAATCATTGGACCATATTTTTTCAAAAATGAAAAATGAAAATGACAATGAAACGACATGTCTAAATAAACATCATTAATATGCATCGTATGTTCGGCGATATTTTTGTTGATGCATTAATTATCTACTGCCATTGTAATGTCAGCCAAGCAGAGCTGATGTAGGGTAACATTACGTTTGTAGTTAAAGCTTGTGCGATATCTTAGCTAAAAAGGTGCTGTGCTACTTTAAAAGAATTTTTGATGTTGCATATTAGCTAACTAATATGAATAATAAAATTACAGCGGATCTTAGATGTTACCTAATTATATTCTAGCATAATATGGTGAGGTTTATTATTCTCATAGATCTCAATATAAATAGTTTTAAGATCTACAAGGAAAATTTCTACTAAATTTTATTTTCTGTTGAGAGTTCGATGACAGCAAAATATTTGTAAAATAGATATAGCAAGTTTAGGTTCTCATTTTACTCTACAAGGATGCCAATCAGATGAATAATGAGGCGTCTTGTCAATAAAGGATATGTTTTTGACTAGAAAATGTTTGCTGTTAAAGAAAGCAGGCAATGTATAATAACGCTTGGATCTGATGATTCATTGAGAATTTTGTAACTGATTTTATAGGAATCGAGTGTACATATATATTATTTGTAATCATGCGGCATTGAATAAGTTTTGCAATGAAATGTTAGCCTTCTTCATAAACTTTAACTCGGAGTAGACAGTATTCTACTAATTCAGTTTGTTGCTATCATGGCTTTTTACAAGGTTAAAGCAAATTCTTATTACATGAAAAGTTAGAAATTTTGAAAAGAAATATGTGCCCATACCCAGTCTACTTTTTAATATGACAACATAATAGTTAACGATAATATTATATATATATTATAACTTCTGTAGCCTCCAATTAAGTCTTAGAACTCGAGAAAGTCGCTAGTAGAAAAAAATGTACATGCTCAAAATATGTTTCCCAAAGAAATGAAAGACATAATTAAAACAAAAAAATATTGCCACAGTTATGAATGCGTTACTTGAGCTGCAGATTTATGTTCTTTACGCTGCTGTATTACAATTAAATAGCAACACACAAACTGACTAGCACAGCACAGTAGAAAAAAATATCCGTTTAACTAAAGTCAAAGCGCAGATAAGTCGAAAGTGATGCTGAGTTCTTTGTACAAAACAAATTGTAACGAAATATTCTAAAAGCTAGTAACGCACGTGTATCCAAGAATTGCAAATCAGTACGTAATATTGCACAATATTAAAACCAAATATTCGCAACAGAAAACACGCGTTCATTAAGCAACATAACCACCACACTCCGGCAGCAATGCCGCAATGACAGCTGTTGATAGTAAAGCGCCGCGGCAATGTGCGCGATGTACTTAGAGAAACAACAAAAGAGCGCTACAAAAGTCATAAAAGCCGGCAAAGCACCGCTATGAGAGCGGCTGAGCGCAGAGAAAGCTTTGCATGCACGCAGCTGACCATGGCCGTGGCCGTGGTGGCGCAGTTAACCTTCAGCTGGAGCATTAAGCGCAAAGCTGAGTGCGCGCTCCTGGTATGGAGCGCTATCACGCGCTCTCTTTGACAATGCAGTGCGAGCGCTTGCGCATGCTGCTTGCTGGCTGAGAATGGTTTTACTTAGCGCGCGGCAGAAGAAATCAAGTGCGGTTGCCACTAAAGCTTAGAAACCGCGACTAAAAGAAAGAAAGCCACAAATGAGTGTAGAAAAATGAGGTGATGACCGGCGCGCTATCTGCCCAGCATTGAGGAAGAGCGCGCCACATTGTTGCCACAACTGAGTGGTGCTTTTTGTGCCGTTGCTATTTGTTGCGGCCGCTGTGGCGACTTTCTTGCTTATTTTCTTCGATCGTGGTTTTGTTAGCTTTTACCTTAGCAGTTTTCTTGCACATACATATACCTCATTGCTCAATGCTGTTGTCTGCGCGAGCGTTGGGTTGCCGCTTTCATTCTATTGGCGCTATTGTGGGGCATTCATAAGCATTGCCATTGCCAAGGCGTTAGCACAGACAGCGCGGAACACATTGTATTGCCACAGCAAAAACAACAACATCAACAGTCAGTCGGAGCATCCGCAGTCGCCACAGTCGAACGGACGGATAGCACTCGCAAGCGCTTTTGCACTCGCATTTGCAGTCGCAGCGGTCGCAGGCGCAGCCGCAACATCTTCTTCTTAGCGCAGCGCACTCCAAAAGAAAAGCCTTCGAACTTATATAACTACTTATTAGCTCGGCATATACTTTAGTTATTCAGTCACCTCTCTACGGTCAAGTTCGCTTTCTTCCTTTCCAAAAGCCAAAAAACCGAATCGGATATTTTTGCCTCAAATAAACAAAACACAACCGGACACAATTTGCTGAAACATATACATAGTGTATGTGTGTGCTTTTTATCTGAAGCAAAGTGTAACGAATAATTTTTTCGGAAAGTTTAACAAGTAGTGTGTGCTTGCGTGTGTGCATAGCCAAATTTAACGGGAAAGGAGTCAAATTATATAGTTTGGTTATTCTGTCGTGTTTTGGATGTTGCGAACTTTTGAAAATTTCAACGAGTGAAATTTCTGCTCAAGAAATAAGCAAATCGAATTCAGCAAAAATTTTAAAATTCAAATAAATTAAACAAAAAATAGGAGTCTGTGCATCCTGCCAATCGCAGCATACTGCTGAGGCTTAAAGTGTTAAGGGATTAAAATTAAAAATAAAATACTAAATAATACAAAGCAACTCTTTGCTGTTATAAACAGCAATCAAAAAAAAAACAAAAAGCAAGTGCAATAGTGTTGAAACTATAAGAAAACAGTATAAACAGCAAGCCAGGATAACGCTTTGGCGAGTTTCGACTGCAGCAAACGTGCAACGCACAAGAAGTGAGTGCTAGAAAATATTTTAAAATTTTTATGAAAATATATATAATACACAATACTTCATAAACAATTCATAAAAATAACTAAAAGTATTTAAAAAAATTAAACAATTTAAATATTATTAAATGAAGTTCGCATATCTAAAGACTTAAGCAGCGAACTTCTGGAGCGAAATTAGTGGCAAGGACAATTATTCTAAGTGGTGTTGTGCAACTAAAAAATATATATGCTTATAATGCAAATAAATAAAGCACAAACAAAAATATTGAAAATTGTTAAGGTAAATAACTTAAGTACGAAAATACTCACGGATATGAAAAATCATATTGGCAATAGCTGCGAAATGCATGCTGAATGATATAAAAACTACGAGAGAGCAATATGATTTGGTATTTCAGTTTCCTCATACAGTGTCTGCAGGATAATCTGTATAAGATACTTGGGCATTCAAAATAGCTAGCATAGACAGCAGTTTAGTGCATTTATTTATGTTTTATAAATCATTACGTTTGAGCTTTGAAAAAAAAAATTTTTCAGAAGAATCAAAATCAGATTTTAAATAACTCAATTTTCAAAATTTATTTTCAGTTGTTTAAAAAATTTGCTGAAATTTAAAAATATTCGTATTAATTTATATTAATCTATTAATTTTTTTTTCTGCTCACTGAAAACTTTAACCATCGCATGGAATACCAATAATTACTATTATACTTATCAGCATAAACTGTTCAATTTGACGTTGAAGTTAATATTGCTTACCACAAACAAATCCACACAAAAGGCTTAAGCATTGAACTTGTCGCCTGAATTGATTACGTTATTGCTGTGTGTTCTTTATTGAGATATTGCCACAATTTTCTTTAATATGTTTGCATTACAGACATTAAGTCGTTTTTGCTTTCAAGAGCCATCTAATTGCAGACAAAATAATTTTTCCTCGGCTTCAAAGGCTTCTACGGAAAATTGTATAAATGTTTTCTAGAGAACAAGCTTTTCTACGCTTTCATTTAAATGTATGAATAATTTTAAACTTCTAATTTAATTTTTGCTTGCTGCTAAATATAGTGTTGCTATTATTGGTGTATTTAGTGACAAGCATTTGTTCCTAAATTTCTTTATGGCTTATTCGACAAAATAATTTTCGGGCTTTATTTAAATTAAAGACGAGTTAACCAACGATTAAATGCCGCAGTGCGTGTTCTTTTTAGCACGTATGGCATTGATTTTCTTCATATAAACTTATCAGAGTAAACATAAATTATATTTATTATATCACTTAAGAACTTTCTCAAAGAATGATGACGACAACAAAGCAAAAGCAAAAACTTTTCTAAAAAGTTAATATAAACTACATCAATTCAAATTCGCTAAAAAGCAATAAATATAATACAAAATGTAAGAAAGTTATATTATATACCTATTTATGAGAGATCAAAATTTACTTTCCATATTTTCCCATAAGTCTTAAAAAGATTTTTAGTTACTTTTTTGTGTACATAGAAAAGTGTTTCCGTAATTTCTTTAAGCAATTTTCATTCACAGTAATGATTTGTACGAAATATTCTTGCACTGCTTAGAGTAATGAGATCAGTAGATAACCCTTTGTAAGCTATAAGTTATTTCAGGTTTTTATGTATAGCTGTCAAGTTATTTGCTGATGTCAAGTAGACAGTTCCAGAAACGAGCAAGTATTTAAACTACCAGCTAATCCAAAGTGAAAAGCTTGAGTTAATTTTAATAAAATGTGTTCAACAAATATTGTGAAATTGATATTTTCAATAATATTTACAATGCAATTCAAAATTTAATTCTCAGAAGCAAATTATTGATCTGCTTTTAAAATTGGAAATATTGCTATTATTCGCATGCGATTATGCTTCATATTTGCTAAGAAATACCAAAAATATAAACATATCTGCATTTGTAAGGTGATAAACATTATTTTTGTTTATAGTATTTCTTGAAATTTTTACTCAAACTTTGGGAACTTTATTTTGAAATCAAAAATATTTCTTTGGTTGTAATTTAATAAAATCGCTAATCTATTTCAGCTCTAAATGCAGTAAAAACGTAACTTATCATACAACTTTTTTATATTCATAAAATATTGGTTCCTTAAACAATGTGTCGACACCAGCTATGTTTAGCTTAGCCATATGTTCAAAACGGCTCAACTTTTAAAACTTGAAAAAGCAACAAAATTCCGAGAACAAAATCAAATTATTCAAATCTGAAAATATGCATAAGCGACATATTGTTTAGAAAATCTGATTTTTATAAGCTACTTGCGGCCACTTGGCACTAATTCCAGTTTTTCTAAACAGCTTACTTTTTTATACATTTACATATATACTTACATGCACAAATAATGCACTTGCGCTTTGAGCCGTGCTTTGAGTTACCTCGAACAAAACATCTTCAGCTCTTGTTTGTGTTTTTATAGGCATTCGTAACTGTAACTTATACAAGTTAACTGTAACAACATTTCAATGTAGCATCAAAAGACGCACTTATAACGGTTTGCTGTGATGAGCCACAATTGCTAGTTTTTCAATTCGATTGCATTTGCTGCTAATTTGAATTTGAATAGAAACTGAACCAGAGCGATTTACAGGGAGAAAATAAACCAAAATCAATGCCATTGGTTTTTGTATTCTAATATGTATATAAGTGTGTGCGCAGCAACATTTTTTTTTTGATTATATGCATGAGTAGAAAATATTTGTTATGAAAGTGAACTGAAGAGCAGTTAAAGAATTTTGAATTTTCTGTAGAAACTTCATACATACAGAAGATATTATAAAAAAATTTTATTAAATATACATTTTTTGAAAATTTGTATAATATATGTTTAAGTCTCACTTCAAAAATATACTTTTTTTTTACTAAATAAAATATTGTAATTTTATGCATCAGATTTTCAAATACGTTCTAATAAAATTCAGCTTATGTTAAGGTATATGGAATGATTAACCTTCCTTCTATGAAAATAAAAGGAATTTTGTTGAGAATAGCAAGTTTCCTTTTATATTTTAAAGTATTTATAGGATACATTTTCTCAATTCTCGCAAAGTTTTTTATCTAAAATATAATATAAATTTTTTGTATAGATGGAGCGGTTTTTATATAAGTATTTATATTTTTAAAAAATTTTATATAATCAAAAGCTTTCAAATTTTACATAAATACATTTTTAAATTTTTAGTTTTTCAAAAAAATTTTTGATACATTTCTAACTTTGCAAAAAACGTATTACAAAAATTTTTTCAATCGACTTCCTAAAGCATTTCTTATTTCGAAATATTTTTTTATTCACATTCCTAGGTTTCGCTAGTTTTTTTTATATAAACAATAAATATTGGAATATAAAAACTGCGCTTTTTTACATAAATAAATACATTTTTTCAATTTATATTATTTTTCTAAAATTTTATTTTTGAAAGTTTTTCAATTTTACATAAATATATATATTTTACGACTTTTATTATTTCAATACTTTTTTCGTTATTTTTTATTGATTTTTGTAAAAAAGTTTTCTAAAATTTTATTTTCAAATTTCCAATTTTTTTCGGAATTAATTTTTTAAATTTAAAATTTTTCTCAAGTTTAGTTTTCTGGAAATTTATGTTTTAAATTTCAAATGTTTTTAAAATTTTAATTTTTGGTGAGCAAACATTAAATTATAAATGCAAATGGACCCACAATATCTCAAGATATTTCTCTAAGCTCTTCCTTTTGCTACATACTTAAGTCATTTGAAAACTTAAGCTTTATACAAATAAAATGCTTAAGCCATAAATAAAACTTAAATGTTCGCATTACATCAAAATTTGCCGACTCCAATTGCTCTGAAATTGCGCAAGTGGCAATCATATCAGCAAATAACCACGGCTTTTGATAGCGCGTATTTACCAACAACAAACACTGAATTAATTATTTAATGGCACTAATTTGTATGAGCACAACCAGTTAGCTGCACAGCAATAACAATAACAAAACCAACGAGTAGTTATAAAAATATAAATACGTTATCAGTTTGTAAAAGAGTTAGCGGCTAAGTTTAACTCAGTGCTGCGCTTTGAAAGGCATCTGTTGCGCCTGCAATTATTGCCTCCACATTGCCGCTACTGCTAGCTGACACATGGGCAGGACAGCGTTGTGGCACACACACATACATACACATATAAAAAAGTAGTGGTTGCACTCTGTGTCATATGTGTCTGGCATTTATGTAATATGGTGTACAACAACATGGCAATTACAGATGCAGCCACAGCAGAAAGATCACAGTCAGCTAAAAAAAAAAAAAAACAGCAACAATTGTGTGTGTTTCAGCCAGGCGCTTGGCATCTGGGCAGCTGTCAGCAGCATTTTCTGCTTGTTACAATTGTTGCGCACAGTTTGCTTGCAGTTTTTTTTTTTGTTGTGCGCTTGTCCATGCAACATTTGTTGCAACGTAACTTGTCAATCAATTTAGCGCGCTCGTTGACCAGCTCATAGCATCTGGGTGTGTATGTGTGTAGGACGCACTTTGTGCAACTTCTCATAACTGTGATAGCAAGGATGGCAGCGGTCAGTAGCACTGCTGCTTGTAACATTACTTCCTGACACACACACACACACACAGTCACTCACTTAAATGTGTACAAATCTCGTAGGAATTTTAATTTGCTATAATTTCTGCAGTGATTGTCTTGACAACACCGGTTGTCTCTGCTTTGACATTTGTGGCAATGTAGCTGAGAAGGAGACGGACTGTCTTGCTGGCCTTGTGACTGGCAGAAGCTCAGTTTCTGCTTGAAAAACTGCAAGTCATTTGAATGACAACACACAACTTAGCAGCATAATTTGTTGGAAATTAAGTGTTTTTGTATCATTAGATGTGTGTGTGTGTGGCTGTTCTTGCTGTGAAGGATTTTAAAAATGTTTGGCTTCAAAATATCAAATATTCCTTTGGAATACTTCTATATATTTTGCTATAATTTCCATTACTTATTCAAAGA